TGGATAATTTTATTCATATTTATAACTGTAGCAATGTTCTGTTTTAAATACCTATGATTAGATCTTCTGAACCTGCCAGCCTGAATTATTTTCCCTTGGTAAAACAAACTCTTCTGCAAACGTTAAATGACTATGCTATTTAGAAATGACCCTGATCTTAGAGAATCTGACTGGCCCCTGAGTAATATCTGTGACCTAGAGGCTTAGAAAATAACAGAAATTTACCATACTGTCATCTGCTTGCAAGTGAAGGCATATGGGAGGGAGCAGAGGGAATTAAATTCAAAACCTAGCGGAGCACAATCAGGAGAAGGAGTACAGGGAAAACAGTCAGTTCCCTGAGCTTCCAACAAAAATAACCCATGAGATGTACTGTACTGGGAGGAGAACCTGACAGATAGGAAGGATGATGACATGAACTTGAGGAGAGAACATAATGGAGAGAAAAATGTGTCCACAGCAGCAGCAGCAGGATCACCCAGTGCAGAACCATCATGAGCCGGAGGTTTATCAGCACATCATGGTTGTGCTGGAACCAACCATGCAGCCACAAGCAACAAGGGAAGCTGGCTCTTCCAAAGTCCTGGAAGCATCTAAAGTAAGGACTTCTGGAATGAAAAAAGGCAGCCCTCATAGCCTGTCTTTATTTTTTTTTTTTTTTTACAAGAACTGAAACATAAAGTATTTTGGATTAGACTATCCCAGAATAAAATGTCCATTTTGCTTAGTAAAATTGAGAAGGAATGAAAATGAAAATGAGTTATTTCTCAGACAACAAACAACAGAACAAAACAGAACAAAAATACACCGTTTAGATCTGTGTAGATTGAAATAAATAAAGCTGGATAGCAGGTATCCATCAGGAAGCTGTGGAAGTAGGATGGTCTGCCTTGTAAAATAATTGTGAAAGCTGATGTTTTCCACCCATACTCACCAGCATCCGCGACAAGTACGGTACCTGGCACGTTCTATAACCATGCTCTCACAAAAGCCTCAACTGGTACATATACCTTCTTTTGCCTAACACAGCAATACTTATGGATAAACTGACATTTTGGGGATTTTCCATTGCACAGTTCCAAGTTAAATTTAATACAAAGGCTTCCAGGGAGTATTTAAATCTATTAATACACACATGCTAATTACCCAAAAGTATGATAGAATGATGGCTGGTTGACTCTCAGGTGTTCAGTTGTATCTGTCTCTGTTCTGTAGCATCTGGAATCTGTACAAATACAGGAAGTATCACACATAAGTCATGCACAAAATAAATGAGTAAAATGATAAGATTTTGACATGGACTCCAGGGATATAAATGATGCAACAGTAGCGCAGCAATAACACAGCGTGCCCAAAAGCTGGGAACAGGTGCATGTAATTATATGATTTGTCCACAATCAAGAATATATAACCTCTGCTTTATCCTTCTGTTGAGGACTTAATTATACCAGATGGAGAAAGCAGAAAAATTTGCATCTCCCCTCACCTTCCTGTTCTCTCCTTGTCACACAGAAGTGAAGTGTTGTCACTGCCAGGCAGTCAGAAAACCAGCCAAGTTCAGCAAGTGTCAGCAGCAAATCTGGAGAGTAGGAAAGACCTCTTGCTTTCAAACACTGTCATCGAGTCAGCTTCTTTCTAGCAGAAGGCGGCAGAAGCAAACCCTGCCTTGCTGGCCATCTGCGAGGAGCACATTTCAACAGCAATTGCTCAGCTTCTGCGTTGTCGGTCCTTTCCCACCAGGCTGCCTGTGAATGCTGTCACAAGCCTCTTGCTGCAAAGTCAAGGGAATGGGTGTTTACAACTGGTGGCACTTCAGTCTACTCTATCATGAAAGACAAGCAGCCTGCAACAGAAAACTAGGTAGAAAAGGCCCAGAGGTGTGGGGAATATTGTTGTCCAGGAATGGAGGCTGAAAGAACACAGGGCTACCCGGAAGCATGGCTACAGGCTCCCTACTCTCTGCCTGCACAGATCCGGGCAGAAATGCTACGTCTTTTCAGAGTTGGGCTCTTTAGACATCCTGGGTACGTTGCAGTGCTCCCATAAGGGTACTGTGACCCCTTCAGACTGCCTTGCAGAAGTGCTCTGCAAATTAACTAAAACCGTGATTTTGCTGATTGCCAGACAACACGTAGGGTAGATAAAGCTTAACTAAAAGTTGTTATCTCTGCTAGGTTCATATCTCATCAACCATATTGTTAGAGAAAACAAAGAAACAACAACAAAAAACATGGAGCTAATGTTCTTTATTATTAAAATCAAAGCAATTTTTTCTTCTTGTAAAGTAAAACCTTTACAGTGATTTGTCTAGATTTTCTTACAACCTGTTTGACTTGGCAGAACAACAAAGGAATAATTTTCAAGAAACTTCTATAGATGTATTTCTTACAGAGCCCAAACAATTAAATGTGCATATTTAACTACACGCAATACATCTGGAGAAACTCGTTCTACCAAGTGTCAATTTTACCAACATTTATGCAACTTGTATACTGGTAACACCACATGGATACAAAAACTTGAGCTGTTTTGATGAGTATTCAGAAGACTATAGCAAAACTACTAGTATTTATTAGTAGTCCTTGTCAACATAAACTCACATATGCTTATCCTGACCTGATCCTTGAAACAGATTTAGTGCTTTTTATGCAATTAACAAACAGCAATGCCCTCTTCTCCATCAATGGCTAATAATTCTATCCCTCACCTCACCAGAGAACACTTTCTGAGACTATGGTTTTGTGCTGGGACACAGCAAAGTAAAAAAAGCCACTGCTTGTGATGATTTGTGATGATAAAACTTCAAAGAAACTTTGGGAAACCTGTTTGTTAATGGCAATATGGTTTTGTTTGTTTGTTTTCAGGAAAACTGTATTACAGAGAATGGAAAACAGAACATTAAAACCAAAGAAATACTGAAGGTCACAATTTACTGTGGTGTGTCTCTGTGTCCCGATAGTTGCAGGCCCTGTGCTGAGTGTTTAGACAATTTAAGAAGCTTTATGCCAAAGGATTCATGTCTTTATGTAACTTTATCAATTATCAAAATATTTCTGTTTTGTAATCATGATCTAATTACTAAAAATAGCCAGGTGATGATAGATCAGGATTTATTACTAACCAGATGATCATCTTCTCACAAACTGACATTTGTAATCTAGGCAGGAATTCAGCTCAGTGACTTATGTTCCCTTCCTCCCTGCCTCTCTCCAATCTATCAACAACGTATAGCAAATCTCTGCTGAATGAAAGACACAACTTCACGTTAGTTATCTGTCTACACCAAACAATTTAAATTCTTGGGAAAGGAGAAAAACAACATCACGCTGTAACATCTTTAACTGCAGCTTTCAAAGTACTCAACTGCAATACTTACCCTAGATTTTGTGGAATGGTATGAGCTTCATTAGCAGCTGAATTAAATTACATTTAAAATGTCACCAAAATATTCAAAGAATTAGGATTATTTTCCTCTAAATAGGTTTGTAGTGATAAGTAATTTTAGATTCCATAAAACAGACTTATTCTGTTTCACTGATTAACTCACTTTAACTGGGACTTTTTCAGATTGAATAGCTATAGCACATTTTTTCTTTTCCTTGGACTCATGTATTTGCATCTCTGTAAAAAGCCATATTCATAATGATCAAGTAAAAAAGGATCTCTCAAAAAAAAAAATCCCACAACCAGAAGTGGGACGGAACAGGAAAAAGGATTTAAAAGAGAAGACATTGAGGTCTTCTTTAATTGCCACTTTGTTTTTATTTACTTTTCAATTAGCTGCATATGCACCAAAAATGGAAGACATAGAAGACTATATGTAAACAAGACGACATCACGGATGACTTTTTGTGTTGTGTATTGCAGCATTTGCAATTCCTCTTTATGAAGGGATGGGGATTTCCATTCACCTTTTAGGCCTAAAACAGAGCTTTTTTTGCCACATAACATCTGAATGCACATGCTATGAACTCGCTCCAGTGATTTAAATGATGATATTATAGAATTGTAGATTCCTGCACCCAAAAGGAAGAACACCCAGAAATCTCTCCTGGTCCTCATGTTTTTAGGAAAAGGCGTGCCCAACTCTTGGCCCTGGGCTGGCAGTTAGGGCCTAGCAGGAACACATGCCGGCCTTTAACACATACAACATGCTCAAGTGTCATTCTGAGGTGACCTGTCAGCTATTCCTTCACTGAGGGTGGCTTCAATTCAAATTACTGACAGACTTCTGAGCAGGAGACTATCAAAATACCATCAGGTGTAACTGCTAGCTTGTTACTACAGAACTATGGAAGTTTTTAGGTCTGAATTCATACAAGCTCATGCTCTGGTGTGGCTATAGAGACACCACGCTTTGGGAATGATTTCAACTTGTCTCCCCAACCACTTACAAATTTTTGGTGTGGGGTTGTATTACAGGAATGTACTTTGGAAGGCTGCTGTTCACAACCTGGAGTACACTGACTTACGCTGGCACCCGCATGCCTCAGAGAAAGGTTTGCTCACTGCCCAAACACAACAGTAAACTGCTGGGTGGTGTAAGCAACACCAACACTCTGACTGATTACACACTTGAGAAAAACCTACTTGTGAGTGGAGTAATAGTTTTGCTGTTCCATCCCAGGGTAAGAGAACAAGCACTGCAGTAAATAGCAGGGATGAACCAATCGCTACGTATGCTTATGAAAAAAACGGAAGGAACGCTACTAAAAACAAGTCACCAGAAAAAGAAAGGCAGACCCCGGACACAAGGAAGCACACTTCTGACTCCCCGTGCTGCAGAGGCGTCCGGAAGGAAAGCACGAAAGCCCCTCTCAGTCCAGAGGGAGGAAGTGCAGAGCACGGCACTAAGGCAGCCCTCCTAGCCGTCTCCTCTCGCTGGTTCCTGCGAGCCTGATTCCTTCTGATTGGCCGAGATGAGCTCCGCCCACGCGCTAGCGCCGCTCTATGCCACCCGGCGGCCGCACCTCGCTGTTCTCAGAACAGTTCCTTATCGCCGGCCTTCCCGGCGCAAGCCTCCAGCCTCCTTTGTTCCCCGTCCGCCCTTTCCAGCCACTCCCACCCCCTTATCTCCATATTCGCCCTCTTGCACCTGCGTTTCCTCCTTCTCCAATGCCACCTCGGGGTTACCACGTTGCAGTACATTGGCTGCCGGAGGAGGTAAATCCTCCACCTTGCTCCTCTCTTGTGTTGTCCTGCCGGCTTCTCTGCTCCTGCCTTTGCTATTAAATGTGTTTCAGAGCGTGACATCTCAGGGAGTGGTGCTTTTTTTTTTTTGTTTGTCCTGCTTCATTTGTGGTGTGCTAAATTGTATGGATGTGAGACTTATCCCTTCTTTGTCATTCTCCCCTCTTCCCACACATCAAGATTGTTTGTAAATCCACAGCATTAAGTGTATTAATGGCACTGGTACAATGCTATCTTTATTTTTCTTAAATTCTGAAAAATGCTTAAAACTGCTTTTTCCCCCATAAAATCCCATATAAATATCTGTAGGTACAAATGTGACTGTAATATGCAAAGCTATGAGCAGTTTTTTACCTGTGCTGCTCTGTAAAAGACATCTCAGTTAGGCAGTAATGCCAAACCCATGAGCAGATTGGATTGCTTTATCTCATAGCTGCTGGGAACATCTGTTGAGCATCTCTGAGGCACGGCTAATAACAGATCCATCCGATGCTCTTTCCAGTCCTCAACGTTGAGGGCATTTCAAGGGAAAGTGGAGCTTAGTAAGTAAAATCCCTGGCTGCTGAATTATACTCTGGCACATCAGTATGAGAGCTGAAAGCGCTGCAGCTAAAGCTGCCTGCTGTTTTGTCTGAGATGGGAGAAGACGCGTACGGATAAGCTTGGCTTTGGCCCTGTCGTCTGCCTCTTGAACTGTATTCTTCCAGCTTTTCTCTCTGGCTCTCTGATCCAGTTGTACAGTTTGTATTTACAGCTTCCAAAATTATCGTAACAGATCAGAATTCAGTGAGAACAGAGGCACATTGCTGTACCTTCTTTCCTTCTTCAAAGCTCAGAGTCCTCCTACCCCTGAAAAGCAAAGAAATACTCTTTGGATTTGTTCATGCTCCCTTGTCATTTTTAAGTTCTTTTCCTTCTTGAACATTGTTGTTGTCAAGAGAAACTCAGTTACCTTCAGATTGCATGCACTTTGGCAGGCTAGGTGAGATTATTTTGTCATGGATCTGATTTCCTTCTAAACAGTGAAGAAGAGCAAACCTGCACTCATGTTCTCTACTACTGCCTGTAAGGAGGCTGTACTGAGGTGGGGGTCTGCCTCTTCACTGGGTATCAGCAATAGGAGTAGATGTGACGCTGCCTTATGAGGGTTAAGTTGCACCAGGGAGGTTCAAGTTGGATATTAGGAATAATTTCTTTGAAAGAGTGGTGAGGCAGTGGCACAGCCTGCCCAGGGAGGTGTTGAAGAACCATTTGGCTGTGGCACTGAGGGGTGTGGGTGAGCAGGCAGTGTTGGTAGGAATAGCCTGAAGGCAGGACTAGATGATCCTAGAGGTCTTTCCAACCTTAATGATTCTACGTTGTGAAGCTTGTTGCTTTCTGTGTGCTTCTGGGTTCATTTGCTTGCCTCATCAAAAAATATTTTATCCTTCAGTCTCATTTCTGATCTGTCAATACAAATATTTAACATAAAGGTTTTTAATTTGTTAAAAAGAGCAATGAAACTGGAGAGGGGTCTGTAGCACAAGTCTTATGAGGAGCGGCTGAGGAAGCTGGGATTGTTCAGTCTGGAGAAGAGGAGGCTCAGGGGAGACCTCATTGCACTCTACAACTTCCTGAAGGGAGGCTGTGGTGAGGAGGGGTTTGGCCTCTTCTCCCAGGCAACAAACAGGACCTGGGGAAATGGCCGCAAGTTGTACCAGAGGAGTTTAGGTTGGACATGAGGAAAAACTTTTTCTCTCAGAGAGTGGTCAGGCACTGGAATGGCTGCCAGGGAGGTGGAGGAGTCGCCGTCCCTGGCAGTGTTCAAGAGGCGCCTGGATGAGGAGCTGCGAGATGTGGTTTAGTGCTTGTGGTAGCAATGGTATGGAAGGACGGTTGGACTAGATGGTCTTGCAGATCAACCTTGTGATTCTGTGTTCTAAATATTATAAACCACGCTCTTCCTTTAAGCAGTGTTATTACTGAGCAAGATCATAGAATATCCCAGCTTGGAAAGGACCCCCAAGGCGCACGGCCGCACTCAGCTCCACACGCTGGCGCTGCCCACGCGCCGCCGCTCCACGCATGCCCGTGAGGGCGCTGAGCATGCGCGCGGGGCGGGCGCCTCCCGCCGGCAGCGGAGCGGAGCGGGGCCATGGTGAGCGCGGCGGGCGGTGGGCAGCGCTTCGCGGCTCCCTTCTCTTCCTCCTCCCTCCTCCTCCTCCTCGCGGCCTCGCCCGCCGCGCCGGGCAGCGCCGAGAGACGCCTGAGGTAGCGCGGGGCTGCGCAGGGCGGGCCGGAGGGCTGGCGGGGCGTGAGGGCTTCGTTTGCGCTGCTAGGGCCTGCGTGGGGCGGGACGGAGCCGCTCTCGGGCTGGCTGTGGGACGCGGTGCCCGCAGCTCCCTGCAGCCCGCCCGAGCTGCTCGAGTTTTCAGTAAACCACGTGGGAGTTGCGGCGATCCTTTCAGCCACAGCCACGAGGGAGTGGTGAGGACAGGGCATCGTTTCCCAAATGCTTGTATTTCTTTTTTCCATGACGGATAACAGAAATTCCGTTCCAGCGCCGATCTTTGCCCGCGTTCCCTCTGAGCTCCTTCCAGCACAGCGCTGCGTTGCTGGTCCCGGCAGGCTGCCCGGTCCGTGTGTCCGCACTGAGATCTGAAGCGGATCTGTGTAGTAAGGAGAGGGCAGACACCAGTGGCGATTCCTGGTGTTTGCATTTCCATCTCCAGGAAAGCGTCTTCCTTCGTTATTTCTCAATAGCGAAGCTAGAGTAGCAGCAGGGAGGGGCAGAGCAGGGAACAGCCCTGCAGAAATGTCAGCAGGCCTCGCTGGGGCTTGGCATGCTCTTGGGATGGGGGCAAGTAACACGTTTTTCCACAAGGCACTGGTGAGGAATGGCTCCCATACGGGTTCGCTTGGCTGCCTTGAATAGGGTATGATGATGTGATGATGGTTTTCTTAGCTTCAGAATTCTGGTCAAAGGGCAGCGTTTCCTTTGGAGGAAAGCAGTGGTGCCAGCTTGTTAAAACGCATCGTGTGTTGGCAGGACGGGGCTGTGAGGGTGTTTGCACAGTTGGGAAATGGTTTAAGACTGTTTCCTGGGTAGACTGTTGCTCTCAGCATTGTACTGCTTTACATTTCATTGGCTGCAAGCAGAACGGAGCTTGTGGTATGGACAAAAAGGATTCTGAAGGCTAAATCTATGCTTTGGTATATCATTTGCTTTGGGTGGTCTTTTTATAGAAAAATCTTATTAGGATCGTAAAATTCTAAAGCTGTGAAAGTAAAAATGCAAAATGAACGTTTCTTTTCTTTCAGCATATAATGTGCTTGTGTTGCCTCGATGCAGGGGCCAAGAGCAGTTTGAAATCTTCCTGATTTAGGCAACCAGTTAGATACTCTTTGCTAAGTCAGTGACTTCCATGCATTGTCAGTCAGTTTACTACAGGTCCTACTTCAGAATGGGGTTTGTTTTTTTAATTGAAATCCTATGTATCTGATATGAAGAAGGGTTACATTGGGAAAGAAATGAGTCAGTAATTGAATGCTGTACATGTGGCTGGAATGTATGCAGTGATGTGTGTACTGGTTTCAGTGGTTTTCTTGAAGCAAAAGCGAGTATCCAGTTGTCTACCTGTATTTCTTAGGTTTTAATTGCCTTATTAATGTCAGCTAGTTTTGAGGATGAACAGTATTGGTTGTGTCTTCTAATCACAACTTACTGTCAAATCAGAGGGATTATATGAAGGAGGAAGTGGAGGAGTGTGCTGAAGATGAGGCGACTGAATCGGAAGAAGACCTTGAATTTGATGAAAGAGTTGGATGCCTTCCCGAAGGTTCCTGAAAGCTATGTGGAGACCTCAGCAAGCGGGGGAACAGGTAGGCCTTACTGATATGTTCACATGATGGAGACTGCCTGTCAGCTCAGTCTGGTGAACCCTTAGGCTCCTATTGAAGCTTCTAGCTTCAGTTGAAGGAAAGCAGTCATCTGCGTTCATTTAAAACTACCCAAAAGTGGTATCTTAATCTCTTAATTTACTTCATTTAAACACATACTATATTCTCCTGATAGATGTGGTCTTTGCTCATCTTGAGTAAGATTTTTTTGTGCAAAACTGATGAGAGAATTGAATGCATGTGTTCACTGTAAGCTCTTTGAAATGACTATGACTGGAAATGCGCTGTGTCAAGGATATAGTAAAACTTCTTAATTTATGGAGTCTCTCTAAGCTGTTTCCTGCAATTCTGTATAAAGTTTTGGGGTAAGACGGTGTCAGTATGGCGTGAAATGCAAGTTGGATTCAGTGCTATGATTTCATGAATAAGGAAAATTGTCCAGGGATGTCTGAACCAGAGTGAAGACCACTTTCTAATGCTTCTTGTCTTGGAGATACAGTTGATTTTAAAAGTAAGGGAAGCCTTTTGAGGAATAAAACACTTTGTTTCAGGGCGTGTGCTTGTACTATCGCTGGAGCTTCTCTCTGAGAACTGTAGCTGTAAGAACTGTCTTTCCTGTTTGTATCTGACCAGAAAATGTTGCCACTCATTTGGTTTGAGGTAGCCTGATAAAGAAATGACTTCACCTGTTGGACTATAGGAAGGCAGCTGCTAGCATTTTGAAATAGAAAGCAAAAATCTTGTGTGTAATGTCTGAAGCTCGGTTGAACAAAGAGTACAAGAAGCAATTTCAATCTACAGATAAGCCCTTAAAGTCATTACACAGTTTGTGCTGTAGAAATAAATATCACAAAGATCTGTTTTACCTTGCTGTTTCCTGAATTGTACTGTTAATAATTGAAGCGTTATTTTATGTAAAATAACTTCTAAGAGGTCATGAAATAACTCATTATTTTAAAAAGCCCATTTCCTGATGAAGCAAGTGAAGTGTTTTTTTGTTGCTGTTGTTT